GAAGAACTAGAGGACTCTGTGTATGAATTCTGACTTCCACAAAAAGTTTGTGGACCAGATAATGCTTCCACACATGATCCACTTGATGTGGGAGGTCTGAAGGAGGGCATAGTCTCGTTATAGGGCCTTGATTTTGGTTCGGGAAATGAAAGGGATGGTTGAAAGGCATGCAATGGATTTATATACAATGGATGCTGGTCCTTGCCAATAGGAGGAACCTTCACATTACTTCTTGTTACTTTAGGAAGAACTGAAGCTAATCCAGGCAAATGGTTGCCGCCTGTTGGGCTTATGGATGTAAAACCCGGAAAGTTGCTGATACTTCCCATGGAACTAGGTTTAATCGAACCGTTGAACGACATCCATTTACCTGTCACAGATGCTAAGATAGTGGTTGGAGATGGAGAATTGTGAGGTAAATAAAAAATATAAATACATGACCGAAATAGGCGTGTGAGTGATGACAGAAACGTTTAACGGTATCCTACCTGGGGGAGAATTGATAACCGGTGAACCTTGATGGCGGAAACTCCAGAAATCATCTTGTTCAAGTTCTTGATTTAGTTGCAACATCAAGCTGGAGGGATCACAATGACGTATAATAACGAGTTCAACAAGAATAAAAAAAAAAAATGTATTGATATTAAGTATGAATTAGACACAAACATTTATCAATTCAATTTCAACCAAATAGAGAATATGCTGATAAATCTATGCAAGAATATATTAGAAGGAGAAGAAAACATAAAAATTTATAGTCTCAAATACACACCTTCGACGAGCTCCGCCAGGGCGACTTGGCTCTAGCTTTATGCGTTTGCCAACAATGTCGCTTCTATTTAATGCCTTCAGTGCTGCTTCAGCAGCTCTAACATCATAATACTCAATAAACTTATGGTGTCTCTTGTGTGGAGTTTCCCTTATCTGTTTTTGAAACGAATAGCACATCGCCGAATGTCATTAATCATAAATCAAGAGAACTTGGAATCAACTGACAATAGAAATATAAGAAGGGTTGGTAAAACAATCACCTCCTTGACCTCCCCATAGACCCCAAAAATTTGATGAAGATCTTCATTGGGAATTGAGGGATCTAAATTAAAGGCTACCAAGGTTCCTTGATTTATATCCTTCTCAGATGGATTATTCTGTTGTACAGTGAAAGAAATCATAGAAATGAAACCAATACTCAAAAACCAAACGAAAGTTGAGATAAACTATGAACGATTGAATATCGGCTCAGCACCTTGGGAATTGAGAAGTGAATGTCGAGTTTTCTCCGCCGCAGTGGTTTGTTTTGCAATGCACGCATAGCAGTTCGAGCAGCACGAATGTCATAATAAGATATCATCACAAAGCCCCTATGTTTACACGCAGTATACAAAGTCCTAATATCGCCATATTGCTGCAAGCCAGAAGGGAAAGTAGCATATCAGTATATCCTAACTTTCTCCAGAGATTAATTATCATTTATGTATAGATTTTAAAATTGGTACAAGGCATATGTTTCCATTCAATTGTCTTCACAAATAAAACGGATATATTAACACATGATTTTAAATAAGATTTACACAAAATGCATCACCTCAAAGAGAGCTCTCAATTCCAAATCTTCGACATTGCTATTAATGTTCCGCACAAACAACGTTCTTGAAGGATGCTCTCCATAAGGATGTTCTCCAGCAACCGTTCCATTACCATTTGAAAAGGTATAAGGAGGCACCACACTTCCAACTGCACCATCACCTAAGCCTAGCCTTGAAGAACCAATGCTTGCATTTTGTTGAGCATCTGTTTCCAACTCCATGCCACCTCCACTACTGAAAAGATCATATTCTTCCAAGTCTTCAAGAGAGCTAGGCAAGCCATTCAGATCTAAATCATCCAATATACCAGCTAGAAGCTCCTCCTCATCATCAGGAAGCAAGCTGCCAATTGCATGAGTTTCGATGTCTTCAAGCACATCATCTCCCTCCGGACCTGGGTTGAGATTCTTAAAGTGAGACGCGATGTCATCAACAGATTGAATAGTAACTCCTTTGTCGGTCATGTTCACTGCGTGTCACGATAAAGAACGAAAGGATCTCAGTTAACATTACATAGGATGGTGAATATAAGATGAAGAATATCAGACAGTTGGCATTGGCAGAACTTACGCTTCCCATGTGGAAGAACCGGCAATGAGCTTGAGAATAGTGTAGTAACGCTGGAAACATCGAAAGCATCAGCTTTGTGGAAATTACCCCATGCATTTTCCTTTTCTTTCGGCTTAGCCATGGGTGGACTACAAGAATGACCTACCATACATAATAAAGAAACAATTACTACATTCCTTTAACCATTATTTTAAAGAAATGGTGGTTGTGGTTTTGAAAGTAACCTGAAAATGAGTGATGTGAACGCTGCTTCTGCATCGCTTTCTGATCTTCTCTACTTGATATGCAATAAAAAGAATATTCCGGTGTACTTTTGTCAAGTGAAGAAAAAAAAAGTCATCAACGAGTTTCCAGCCAAGAACGGAAAACTATTCGCGGTCATGATCGAGAGCCAATATCCAATGCAGGGAAATTTTTGTAATCCACAATCAATCACAATCGATGTCAATAGCTTAACACTTAACTAAACTGAAGGTCCTTCTATCCATCTTAAAATTTAACAGGCAGACAAGGATCAGGGACATTAAGAAGTATACTATACATTCAATCTTTTAAAGTAATATATTCTTAATATACTTCCGCACATGTGGGCTCAGCTGCTAATATGTTTACAAAACTCAACCAGTGAACTATTAATATCAAAATGTCATTGCAAAGATACAAACACAATACTTGGAATCTTCAAATCGTTGTTAAACTCAAAAGTAGTATAAATTTAATCCCACATGGCTGGATCAAAACATCAGACAAAATAAGGAAAGAAAAAACATTAAAACCGTTATCCTTTTTATTGTTTGGTTTTTTTGTGAAGGTGCAACTGATACGACCAAAACAGAACGAATCACATGCCCGATTAACCCAAAAAGGAAACAAAGGGCAAAACCACTCCACAGAAGGGAAAAATATAAAGAGAATTGAACAAGTCAAGCCAAACGATCTTCCCTTAAACATTGTATTGCATTTCAGAAAAATCAAACCCCACATGGAAACAAAAACAAAAAATGAATCTTTGTGAACCAAATCACTCAAACTTGCATGTAATCAAACGAACTGGGAGATTCAAGATAAGCTCCAATGGAACACAGAGACAGAGATAGATAAGTAACAGGCAAGATGGAGACAAACAGAAAAACACCCCCAAAAAAGTAGTCGATAAAACAAAACACAAACTCCTCAAAATCAAGCTCAAAGCAATGAAACTCAAAAAACCACACAAGGAAAATCTGCAAAAACTCACTCCAACTAGTATCCCTTCAAAACGACGATGATCAAAGAGAGAAACGGCGGTACTAAAATGCCACGGCACACAGTTTTCGTTGTTGCTATCGAGAGCTGCAGAGCAATACTTGTGGTGGAACTGAAATTGGGCGTTTACTGAAATAGAAAGAGGGAATTAAAAGAGGGGAAAAGGAGACGAGAAAGAAGTGAAAAATCAATGAGGGGAAGATGGAGGGAAGAGGAAGAAGAAGAAGAGAGTTATGGGCTGCAAAAAAATGGTGGTGGGCGTGGAAATGGGGACTCAATTGTAATTAAATTAATTTTTGTGGCTAAAATTATATTTTTATATACTTAACTTCGGAACCTACCATAAATACTTGAAAATTTTGGATTATCCTCTTTTCTTTTTCTATAAAAATAAATAAATAAAGGAAAATATATATATTTTAAGTGATCGAGTCGTAATTATCCACTTCTTATCGGATTTGACTGTTTGACTTTAATTGCTCATCTTTTTATATTTATTTATTTATTTATTTTCTTGTTACGGATATGTGATGTAATATATGAGGAAGGCCACGTTTTACTCGTTGAGCGTTGGAGAAGTTGGGAGTTATTCCTAATTTGTCCCCACCTTATTTATTATTTCAAATTTTTTTTTTTGTTAAAATTTATATTTTAGTCTTAATTGATTACTATTTTTTTTTTAACTTGCGATGGTTTTGTTTAATTCTTTTTAATTCTTTTTAAATTAATAAATAAAATGATGATGTGGCATCAAATACAGTTTAATTATAATAAGATGTGTTTTAATTTATTAAAATCAAATATCTTTCCATGAATAAAGCTAAATTTAAACCATAAATTATAGTATATTATCTTATAATAATTTTGCTAACGATTCACCATGTGCATCTAAGTAAGAAAGCAATACTAAATTTAATTTTTAAGATTAACCACTAAAATAAATAGACATCTTATGACACGTTGTTTTTTTTATATGCACTCTTTCGTCTTAGAAAATATATATATATTAAAGTTTATAATCTCAATAGGAAAAGTTAAATTAACAATTTAATTGAGCTTTTCGTCGAATTACATTTCAAGCATAAATAAATGTCATAAGTTCAACCTTCAATTTAAAAATGCATCGTAATTTTTATTATCTAATAGATTTTTATTTGAAAGTTATAAAATGGGATTATTACGCAATTTTAATAAATTATAAAATATATGTGCGATATAACAAAATTGAAAGAAGAACAATTTTTTTTTTTTTTTTTTTTNTTTTTTTTTGTTAAAAATTGTGAGGTTTGCAACAAATAATTGCAATCCAATCAAATTTGTAAAACTTGATATTATTTAAGTTTTCAAATATATATATTTTTTTTGTATATATTTTCTTAAAAAATTAGAAGGTGAATTTATATAGAGAACAGAAATGTAACTAAACTAAATATAGAATATGAAATTGAAAGTTTTATCGAGTAAAAATTGAATTCTCAAAAAAGAAAAAAAAAGAAAAAAGAAAAAAGAAAACCCGTAAACTTTGACCCACGAAAACCCTAACGCCGGAGCCACTCTTACCTCTTATATGAATATAAACCTGAAGGGTTGAGGTTCGAGTTCGGCGGGTCTTGGAAAGCAAACTCCGATTCCGATTGCCGGTATATCTCTTTCTCTCTATTCGTATCTTCTGTTCGTATAACTTCTAGCTTTCACGCTCTAATATTGCAACATAAAGTAGTTTATTTCAAGTCAAATGCGATTTTAGGCTGTAGGCGATTCAAACATTCTGTTGTTATTTTGTTGAGTCAACATTCTTTCAATCAGTCATTTTGGAGCTGAGAAATCTGCTTGGTTTAGAGTTTATAGGAATTAAGAAGATATGGCGGTGCCGTTGCTGACGAAGAAGATCGTTAAGAAGCGGGTTAAGCAGTTCAAAAGGCCCCAGAGTGACCGCAAGATCTCTGTCAAAGTATGTATATGAACTATTGTTAGTTTTCCTCTGCATAACTAGAATTTCTGCTTGCTAGTGATTTTGCATTCAACTATGTGTATATGCATACGAGAATTGTGTTTCGCTCTGCTCACTGGTGATGATGGAGACTTTTTAATTCTCATTGAATCTGTACAATTTTCCATCTCGATCTTTAAGTTGCTCTGTTGATTATTCGGTGCTAACAGTCCATTTATCTCATCATCGCTCCAGTCTTATTTGCATTGCTTGATACAATTAATGTTTAGCATTATGTATCGTTTTACTTCGAAAGTTGTATAAATTATTCAAAACCACGATAGTTTTCCCTCGTTTTCAGTTTTCTCATTGTTCCACCTCTTTGACTGCTATCGCATAATGAAATGTTGTTCAACCTAACTACTTTTAAAATTTTATAACAAGAGTATGCTACGGCAATGAATCAGTATTGGTGCAACAAGTTCTTTGGCTTTTGAATGATAAGGTCGATATCATGCACTAAGAATCAGTATGATTTTTAGTGTAGCAATATCCTGCTTAGATGTTTTTTCTCAATTGACACTAGTTTTTATTGTTTAGTCGAAAGTCCATGTTAGGCATCTGAAAGTTTCAAAAAAACAAAGAAATTTGTTGCATTTTTCAGTAAACGCTAGTTGCATTGCAATTACATATTGAAGTTCAATTCAATTCTCTAACAATGGCTCTCTCCACCAGTATCAGCAGTGTTTTTTTCTTTAATATAAATTTTTGTGGAGTTATTTGTCCGTGATAGCTGGTTTCTTTATCCAGCATTTTGTTTGAAGTGCAAAGATTGCTACCCTGTATAGAGTTTCATTACTCTCTTCTGAATGCTTTTAAAATCCTTGTCTTGTTTTCTTATGGGCTTTCTGTCCCTGCAACCTTGCTTATAATTCTACTGCTATCACTTGCGCATGATTTAACCATAAGTTGAGTGGTGATGTGACATGTTGTGTTGTCCTTATTCGTAAACTATACCCAATTATCTTTAATACTTTGTTTGTTTTGTATCCTGTATCCTTGTATCTTACACCTGCTTGATGCATCTGTGTATTTTGTGATCCATCTTATGTATTAGCTTAATGTGAAGTCAAACATGTGCATAAATTTTTTTACCTCCTTTAAATTTACCAAGTGATTGCTCAAATGTACGGTGACAGACAAACTGGCGTAGACCAAAGGGTATTGATTCTCGTGTTCGACGGAAGTTCAAAGGATGCACTTTGATGCCAAACATTGGTTATGGTACTGACAAGAAGACCCGTCATTATCTTCCTAATGGATTCAAGAAGTTCGTTGTGCACAACGTGAAGGAGCTTGAACTGTTGATGATGCACAATAGGCAAGCACTGATCTCTTCACATTTCATTTGAATTATGTCCTTACTCCTGAACTTGATGATTTACTAGATTTAGAAAGATGTATTGCATGGCTGATTCATTTTTCTAATTCAATTATTTCAGGACTTACTGTGCTGAGATTGCACATGATGTGTCCACAAGAAAGAGGAAGGAGATTGTGGAGAGAGCTGCCCAGCTCGATGTAGTTGTCACCAACAAGCTTGCTAGGTTGCGCAGCCAGGAGGATGAATGAGCCTAGATTCTCTTTTTGTTTCATTAGTGCTGTCTTTTTAATACCGTTCCATGAATTTGACATCGCCTCAGAATTGGCTTGCTGAATTTCTATTCTGTTGGATGTCTTTTTATTCGACTGTGATTTCTAATTCCATTTGTCATTTTTGGTTATTCATCTGTGGGTTTTTCCTTCTTATTGATTGCTTTCAAGATTTTGTGAGTTTCCACCTCGGTTTGAGAGAGATATTCTTTATAAGGGTGTACGAGTCAAGATAGATATTCTAGAGGTGAGCTTGGCCTGAGCTCAAGCGGTTAGAGAGGTGTTGATTCTAAAATGTTCTCGAACAATTGCTTTTGGTGCAAGTTATTTAATCTTCTTTGTGCTTTTAAATGGTACAATTAAAGTGAAATTCAATTGTCATCTTTCATTTCCAATTCATGAATTTCTGTCGATTCACATTCCTGGAATGTTCTCAGGTTTCCTGGTCCCTCAATTCTCTGATTCTCAAGAGTACAATCCCCATGTTTTCCTTGGCCCACTTAAGCTCATCTACGTAAGATGACGACTCATTTTCAGTACAATTATCATTAAACAGAAAAGAAATGCCGTGATGAAATGAACGTTCAACCAAATGTGCATTTAATTCCACTAGTTGAACTAAAATTTCAGGAATTTGAGTTTTCCCGAGGGACGAATCCTCCCCCTGATTTTCATCACTCTTCATGCTTTCCAGTTCGTCGATCAGTTTGTCCACTCTTTGAGACGAATTCAGAAGCAGGTCCCTCACCTTCTCAAGAAAATCAAAGTTATCCTGCAATTCGAATCTCGCTTTCTGTGCGTCTTTCAACATCGGAAATGTATGATCAATGATTTCATAGAATTTCAACAAAATTTCCTCCAGTTCTTCAAGAAGTTCCGGTGCTGAATCAAATCGACCATTCGAATCTCCATGCAGATCATTTTGATCTTTCCTCAATTTATCGGCCGCGTTCACGGATTCACGAACTGACTCCAGGAACCGAAGGATAAGATTTTCGTCTTCCTTGATAGTATATCCAGAATGAGATGCATCTTCATGGAGAGCTTCCTGGTTTTCTTCTTTAATTCTATTCTTGAATCCGCCATCGCTTTCTTTGTCAGCAAGGCCTTGATGACCATTCAAATATCGATCCAGATCTTTCTGTTCTTTCTTGCATTTAGAAGCCTCGTTCACGGATTTACAAAGTGAATCGTTCAACCGAAGGAGGATATCTTTGTCTTCCTTGATATCATGTCGGGAATGCAACTCATCTTGATGTTGATCTTCCTGATTTTCTTCTTCAATTTTATGCTTGAATCCGCCATGGCTTTCTTTGTCTGCAAGTCTTCGACGAGCACCCAAAACTTGGTGCAGATCACAATGTTGTATCTTGAATTCACGATCTGACTCCAAGGTCCATCCCTTCAACCAAAGGAGAATATCTTCGTCTTTCTTGATTTCTGTAATTATCATGTTTGAAATCTCAACTTTCTTTTCTCCCTATGTAATCCTAAACTAATGGAGCGTTTGCAGGGAAAAGCCTGAAGATCGCGATGAACTCAACTTGAAGAACTCGAAGAAGTCATTCAGATTCAAGAAACGCAATCTGTGAGTCTATCTACTGATTCAAAATCTTATACTCCCTGTTTTCTTATTTTTAAGCCTACAAAGCGGAAAACGGCTTTACAAACTTTATATTTGGATCAAAATTTGAACATTTTTATAGTCAAATTTTGACCAATTTCAAAAGAATCATTTTCACCTTACAAGATAAAATGTGTGTTAAAAAAAATATTTGTTAATAACTTAAAACAATTATATATTACCTAACAGATTAAGCTTAAAATCAAATCAAATCAAATCAAATCAACAAATTTAATAAGATTTTAGGTTTAAAGATGAAAATTATCCTTGGATAAGGATTTCGTTTTTTGTTTTGAAATTTATGTACTTTAACAATTTTTTTTAAAGAAAATAATGAAAAATAGATATTCTCTCATCAAAATTATACCTATATTAAATATATAAGATTTTGAAGATCATCATCTAAAAAAGAATGTTAAATTTCTAAATTAGATTTTTATTAGAATGATAATTGATATTTTATATTTAGATATGTTCGAACAATATCATTACTATATTATACTTAGACTCAGATCATGAAAGGAAATTACTAATAAGAATGTTCATGTTGTTGAATAGGTCTATAATTAATATAAATTTGGTAGTATTTTTAAGTTTTTTGGACTTAGAAGAATTAAATTTATAACTAGAAAATTGAAGAACAAATAGTTTTTCATTTTTCTAAAATGACTTAAAAGAAGCTATATTAATTGCTAGTTTCATGATCCTACTGATTACAAAAAAATGGAATGTAAACACACATGAAATGATCCTGAAAATCCAGGACCAACCAAGAATTAGGTTCCAGAAACAAAAAAGAACGTAGAAATTCGAATGAAATCTTGAAAGAAAAAAGCTGAAACATTTTTTCTGCTCCTATTGATGCTTACTGTGTTTGTTCATCCTCATCCTTCTCCACCTGCTTCAGTACTTTGATTCCCTCCATTATTTCATGTAGTTCTTCCTTGGAACTCTCAAGCTCATCCAAACACTGTGATAGCACATTCCCCCTGTTCTTCGTGTCTGAAACAAGGCTGATATTATGGGAGCTTACTATTTGCATATTTATGTCTTTGAGTTGAGCAAAGATATGGGGAAAATGGGTTTTCCTGAGCAAATACTCCTTCTCGAACCCCTCCAACTCTTTCAGCCACTCCATTTCAGAACTCACTCTCTTCATCCGTACACTCAGAGTCTTAACCAGCCGACTTCCTCTCTCAAGAATCTCCGCCCACATCTGCATTTGGAGTTCTTCATCCTTCTCTTCTTCTTTCAACCTTTGCAGTAAGTAGTCAACGAAGCTGTGATATTTCATTACGATTTCCTCTGTTAACAGTAGAGGATCTTTGTCCAAATCTTCGTCCTCTTCCTCCGATTCTTCTTCTGTGATTCTTGTTCGTTTCTTTGCCCTTTCCGATTCTATGCGTACCTCCTCATCGCTACTCCGAGCTTTCTCGATGTGGTTTTCGGAATTTGATGCAACAGTTTGTATTTGATGATCCTGAAAATCTGAATCCCTCGCCGCTTCGTTCAACATTAGGTTAATACCTTCTACTTCTACTTCTACTTCTACTTCTACTTCTACTTCCTTCTTGATTTCTGCCATTTTCGAGCACTTACCTTCCTCTTCGATCTCTGTAGCCGTCATCTTGCGAATCCCCCAGCCCTGAATTCGTTGGTGATCTGTTTGAAAATTGATTCGGAAACGTATTTGCTGCGTCCGTTCAATTCCCTGGATGCCTCTGGACCATTTTATCTGTTTGAAAATTTTATAGCCTACAAAACAGAAAAGGGTTTTGAAAAGCCATATCTAAGATTCAAATCATCGTTTATTTTCTAAATCTTTTTTTTAAGAAGTGTAAATAATATTCGGTTTTTTGAAAAGATTTTTTTTTTTTTTCTTGCAAAAGAAATTATGCGTCCCTGCACATTCCATTAGAATTTAAAGGTTTTTTTTCTCTCTCTCTCTTCTAAAGCCAAAATTAATGGATGAACATGATATGGGTCCTAGATGAACTATGAACAATAGGATCTTCGACTCTGCCATTACTGCAAAATCTATGAACCCATTGAATCCCAGGCGGCAATATCAACTCTCCCGAACTCCGGCAGCCCATCAATACTCGTCGTCCAAGAAACGACAATCCTTTCAGACATTTTGTCGAACATGTTACAAACCATTCTTAAATCCCTGCATTTTTTTAGCATGGCATTCCAAGAAATCACATCCTTCCCAGGCATTTCGTAGAACAGTTTCTTTTCTTTTCTTTTATTAATTTACTAGTTCAACTTGGTACTATGCTTTCTAATGCTTCAATTTGATCCATAGTGTTACAAATTTTGTACATATTTTGATTTTTTCCCTCACTTTTTCAATCCAATCAAATTTTTAACATTACACTTCATTCACTAAATTTCTTAAAAGATAACAATGAGTTGTATTAACGAATTTCGTTGTGCTAGTTGAAATTTTACAAATATGGATCAAATCGATCCCTGTCTTAAAGTTCAAAGACCATGATGGATGTTCTGAAAATTAATTGGAAACTGAGGATGGATTTTAGAAGTTGGAAACCTACAAGGCAATAGATTGGGTGGATTAATATATTGGGATAAAGGAAGTTGGCAAAGAATATAACTCCCTCCATGGAAAAGCAAAAAATGGTGAGACCTTTATGTGTAAAAAATTGCATCAAATTTCCTGTGTGAAAGAAGAGGCAAGCAAGAATGATTCACTTCCCCTTTACATCCAATTCTGATCCCTTTTGGCAAGCAAAGAACCTGACATCCTCCCTTAAAAATGCTTTCAACGAAACCCCAACTCTCCATAGGATGAACTCTCAAGTTTAAAGCCATAAACAAAACTCTTTCATCTCAAAACCCTTCTTTCTTCAATACAACCCATTTCAAGATATGGAGGCCATTGCTGCGTCAATTTCGTTCTTCAATTTCTGCATTAGCGTCATCATTTTCGGGATCGGTGGCTGGGTGATGAATCACTCAATTGATAATGGATTTGTTATTGGTTTGAATCAACTCTGTTTCCTCATCTTTCTGCTGTTCTTCTTTCAACTATGGTGTTGATGTTTCTTTTAGTGGTAATTTTGTTCAAGTTTTTCATTTTCAGGTGCTGAGTTTGAAGTTCCTGTATATTTTTCTCCAATTTTCTTCCAAATTGGGAACACTGCCACTGGGTTCTTCGTTGTTTTTGCTTTGATTGCTGCTGTTGCTACTGTTGCATCTGTCATCTCTGGAAGCTTCTACTTTCGTTTTTCCAACCCTAACAACTTGCCCCCCGCTGCTTCATCAGCTCTCATCGCTTGCTTCCTAACTTTTCTTGCCATGGGGTATGCAAGTTCAAATCTTATTTTGTGAGATCTTACATCGGTTAGAGAGAGGAACGAAACACTCTTAATAAGGGTGTGGAAACATGTTTTAAAACTTGGAGGGAAATCACTTGAAGGATTATAACTAAAATGAATGTGATCGATGCAGATTTGCTTGGAAAGAGATCTCCCAAACTGTCACCAGTGAGCATCTGGTGAGGAACCCAAAAGTTCTCTCTTTAATTTTCCCTTTTAGAGACTTTGTTTCAGTTCTCCAAAAGTGATCACAAAGTTAGTAGAAACTACGGAGCTAAGGTTGAGTTCCTTTATGTTTCCTTATGCAGATGGCATTGGAGGCTTTCCTGATTATCCTTTCAGTTACGCAGTTTATTTACACTGCAATCATTGTGTGGACCTCAACCAGCTACTCGACTCGAAATAACGTTCACTGAACGCTTAGTTAGTGGGGTTTGCTTTCAAATTTTCTTTCCTTTCCATTCTTTATTTTTCTCTACTTCAGTTCTATATGTAAATGGGGAGAAACTCAGTAGGTGTGCAAAAAAAGAATAAAATTTCAATGACTTTGATTTGCTTCATAGCAGTTTTAACAGTATGCATACCACGAAAACTAACAGAAATAGCAGATGTCAAATGAATAAGAAAGTCAGGTGGTAACAGATTATCAACACAATTGAAACATTTACGATAATTTAACTGCGAAATGTCGAACCAATGCAAAATCGAGAACATTATGCTCCAAGAAAAGAAAACTCACTGTAAGATAAAGACATGTAGTAAGGGAATATCTTCATGCTGCTAGCTTCTAAATCCAAGAACATGATCTACCTTAAGCTGGGTTCATCAAGTTCGATTTCGTCTATGTTATCATGCTTTCATAACGACCCTTGCCGATTAACCTTCACCCGTCCTGTGAAGACTTTCATCCCTGCCTCGACATAAAACAAATTATCTTTGTGTCAATGAGAACTTTCTTCATCTTTCATAACAATTAAATTTTCAAACACAGACAGCTTCCTGACATGAGCAGCATTTAAAATTGGGCAAGGTAATCGTTGACTAACCCTATATAAAGAAACTGTATGCGAAGCTATCAGTTCGAGCTCGTAAATACATCACATAAACCACAGCAACTCAACCACGAGGTTCTTCGTGGCACGGGAGGTCTTGAAATCAACGGCTGCACAAAATTGGAAAACAAAAACTCATTTCTCAAGGAACAATTAACATATGATCTGCTCTGCTGTGTTGAGCAATGACAAGAAATTGAAAAGAAAAAAAAAACCTGATCCTCAGATTCTGGGTTGAAATTCTCTGCATTTTCAGACCCTTTGATATGCGCTGCAAAATTATTAGTTTCAGTCTAAGTTTTCCAGATGCAAATTCAAAGGCATCAGAAGAAGAAGAGCCCTTATGAACAGATTCACCTGATAAGTGTAAATTTGTATCTTCATTTGGTTTTGATGAGAGATCCCTTGGAGCTGTCAGTGACAACTTTTCTGAAGTAATCATATCAGGTATGGCAGTATTTTCAACAGAAGCACTTTCCACGACGCCGATAGTTTCCTCCGATGCCGAGACCTCTGGCGTAACCGAGTTAACAATAGAAGCAGCCGTTGGCGCAATCTTCTCATCAAGTACCTATGTAAGTTCTTAGAGCTGGAAAACTAATGTTGCTGATAAGAGTAGGTTGCAGTTTCAAATTTAGAAAGCGGATTACATACCTCTGGTTCCTTTGTTGTATCTACAGACTCATCATCTGAACTGCTACTGCTATGATTCTGAAGAGTGCCATTTTTTGTCTCAGCAGCAATTCCTAGTTTCTGATTAGTCCCAGAATTGGAGGAGCTACTCTCTTCTACTTCCTTATTCCCCTTACCAAATGGATTGCTGTGGCTCGGCTGATTCTCAGAAGCTGGGGATTCAACCTCACCACTGTCACTTCCCTTATCATTTCGGTTCTTAACATCCTCATTTCCTGAAATGAACAGAATTATAAGCAGAAGAAATCCAACACAGAACTATGTAAATCCCCAGATGAAATAATTTGCCGTAATCTAACTCAAGTGAAATCATTCTCTCCAAAGCAATCAAAGAACTGAAGCTTAAAAATACCCCAAAACCCTGCTTACTTTGGAGTGAAGCGTCCGAAGGGGGAAAATTGAAATTAAAAAACAGGGGATTAAAATAAAGCTGAAGTTTGAATCAGTCAACAAATCTAATTGGGTATAAACAATAATAAAAGAGAGAGTAATTACAAGGGTTCAAATCAAAATCAAAATCAAAATCAAAACCAAAGCCAATCTAGTTTAATCAGATCCCAAAAGCAAGGAGGAGGCATCAGTGGCAAAACCCACTTCAGAAATTACATATGAATACAGCGACAGGAGGAGAGATGAATCGGAGGAGGAAGAAGAAGAAGAAGGGGCACTTAAATCGGAAAAGGGGGAATGAGGAGGGTACCTTGAGAGGCGTTGGAAGAGGGGCTGATGTGAGCTTCCAATTCCTTCTTTTTCTTGGCAGCTTTTCGCTTCTTAGCACCTGACGGCATGATGAACACAAAAGCAATGGAAGGGAAGGGAGTTTGTGGAGAAACACAAACTTGGAGGCTCCGCAGCCTCAGAAGAGATTGAAAGAGAGCAAAAATTGTGAGGTGGGTTTATATATATATATATGGAAAAAGGATATGGCAGAGGAAGGGACAGGTGGGGATGACGATCTGGAGGTTCACTCACTCCCCAAATTGCTTCAGCGCCAATTGGGATTCCCAATCCCCCAACGCTATTTGCCCTTCTCACTTCCCCCAATGTTAAAAATCACAGAAAGATTCCATTTTTATCCATCTCCTCTGCTTTTTTTGTAGGCGAGATTTGACATGATATTAAAATAAAAACATTTCTCACCATTTTACGGGAGAAACACTTGGTGTTGTTGTTCTTATTATTTTGCTAAACAATAAACATCACAAAAGAAATTTACACTAAAAAAATTCACAGAGTCTATGTGAGGGAAATTTAAGGAATAAAGAAACTTTATATTCTGAAAAGAAAAAGAAGGAAAGAAATTTAATGAAATTTGGTCCCCAAATTTATTGCCACAAAAATCCAAAGAAAAGAGTGAACGGATGCGAGTGATTGGGAATGTGCCATGTTCCACTCTCACTGTTTTTCTCATTATAATATATATATATATAATCCAATTAAATGTCTTCATTTTTTTATACTGGATTTTGACGTCACCTTTAAATTTCTCTTTTATAAATAATTTTCCTAAATTAAATAATATTCCATTTTACATATCAAATATATTTTTGACATATTACACATTTGTATATAATAATATATCTAATAAATTAACAAGCTTTAAAAGTATTTAATAAATTTATAATACGATCTATTAGACGCCAAAATGAAAATTTATTAACAAATTTTTATACCCGTGTGTCGTATATTTAAATTAATTTTAAAAAATTAAATAAAAATAAAATGATAAATATATCATTATAAATAGCCCTTTTGTTCTATACAACACAACAACATTGAATAATCATACTCTAATAATTAAAAAATAATAATTATAATGCTTCAATATGAACTTTTTGAGTCTTCTAAGAATGAAGTACATAAGTACGGAAAATAGAAAATAAACAAATAAATAAAGGAAGGAAAGATGGGAGAAAACTTAATTATTCATTGATATATTATAATTTTCTCATTAGATTTTTATATAGTAATTTTATTAATGATATCTTTAATGTTTTTAAAATATTTAATAAGTATATAAATTTTAAATTTTAAATTTTTTATTTTATATTTACTAAATATATATATATAGATATATTTATATTTATATTTATATTTATATATAAAAACACAGAATATTTTGTTGAGTTTGTTCCTAAAGTTGAGAACTTGAATGGAGTGCCACCAAGGATGCATAAGCGCCATCACTGATCTTCATCAGCTCCTCATGGCGGCCCTTCTCTGCAATTGCACCATTTTTGACAACAGCAATAATGTCAGCGCCTCTAATGGTGGCAAGGCGGTGGGCGACGACGACGGTGGTTCTGTTAACCATCACTCTATCTAATGCTTCTTGAACCACGCGCTCTGACTCGGCATCCAGCGCGCTCGTTGCCTCGTCCAGTAAAAGAATTTTTGGGTTCTTCAGAATGGCTCTCGCAATGGCTATCCTCTGTTTTTGGCCGCCTGATAACTGGACTCCTCTTTCTCCTACCGAGGTTTCGTAGCCTCCCGGCAGTGAAGAAATGAAATTGTGGGCATTGGCTGCTTTTGCTGCTCCCATTATCTCTTCCTCGCTTGCTGCGTTTTCTGGGTTTCCATAAGCTATGTTGGAGCGAATTGTTTCATTGAACAACATCGGCTCTTGACTCACCAACCCCATTTGCTGCCTCACCCAGCTCAGTTTGAACTTGTGAATTTCCACTCCGTCAAGAAGAGCACGCCCCGAATCTGGGTCGTAAAATCTTTCTATTAGACTGATTATCGTCGATTTCCCGCTGCCACTCTCACCAACCAATGCAACACTCTGCAGAGGAGAATACACATTCAATCTGAGCAATAGAAGAACTAAAAGGGAAACTTTTTGAAATGGGGTTTATTATTAGAGCTTTATAAGCTTCCAAGAAAGCTTTATAGTATACTTTGTTCGAAGGTAGTATTCTTGAGAATTGTTGGGAAGAAGTTTCACCTTTGCACGCCTTTTGGAAAAGTCAAAAGCAAAACCATAGAACTTAGGCTTAAAGTGGATATCATACCATGGTAAGGAATTATGGTTGTTGTTTTACCTTTCCGGATGGGATGCGTAAGCATAAATCGCAAAAAATTTGAATATCTGGCCTTGTTGGATACTTGAAGCTAACATGATCAAACTCGATATTGCCAGTTACAGAGGTAAGTGTCACACCTTCGCTGCTGCTTGAATCAATGTTAGGCTTGCTGTCGAGTATTTTAAATATAGAGGCAGCGGAATCCTTGGCTTTGGTGCTATCAGGAGCCAAGGCAGTGGTTTGGGAAACACCCACGGCAGTAATTGTAAGAGCAAAGAAGACCTATCGCAGAAAATGAAGAACAATCATACTAATATCGTAAAAATGGAGGTGGAAGAAAAGAAAAGGTTATATTTGAACCTTGAAGACTTCAGGGAATGTTGCCTTGCCATGTTTCACAAGAATGGATCCAATGTAGAAGCAAAAGGCATTTGTGCAGAAGAGAGCAAAGAAAGAAAAGCCAAAGCCGGCGCCACTGAGGAGTCCTAGGCGGACTCCATTCTTGACAGGGTCCTCACATTTCTTTTCATATAAATCCATCACCTTCTTCTCAGAGCAAAATGATGCAATGGTTCTGATGCTGCTGACCGCATCACTGGCGACTTGACTGGCTTCTTCATACATGACCTTGGCATCTGCACTGAACCCTTTCGTGAACTTGGCCTGGAGGTAACCTTGTGTAAGCAGCAAAGGAGACACTGCTAGAATTACAATTGCCAGTATCCAGTTAGCTGAGAATCCTATGATTAGCCCAACTGTGATGGTCGCAATATTCTGGACTACTAAGGCCAAGGCATCCCCTACAAGCCTTCTAACTGTGGCAGCATCAGTAGACAACCTTGCTCCAATTGCGCCACTGAAATATAGGAAGGAGTTTTACCTTAAAAACATGATGTTAATGAAACAAAAAATTCAAATTCTTAAACTGACCTTGTGTTTGCAGGATCATCAAAGTAACTAATCTGTTGGTGGACAATCTTTTCAAAGGTAGAAGACCGAATCCGTTTGATTAACTTTCCGCCTGCAATTCCAAAAAGGCAATTCTGCAAAGATGAAGCAAAGAATGTGAGACATCCTAGACAGAGATACAGAAATGCCCAAAACTTGGATTCTTTCTGAAGCTGGTTTGCTGGTTTATAGAACATTCCAATGGCACTTGAGAGTAAGAGGCCAAAGATAGGAAAAGCCATGCCATTCAAGACAGCTGCAATACATCCAAGCAGCAAGACAGGAACTTCAGGCTTATTCAAGGTTGCTAATCGTTTCAATGAACCACTTATAGGCTTTTCCATATCAATGTCTTTTCTTTCTGGTCTGTCTTCATTGATTTCTTCATCGTGGATATGAACTGAACCTGGAATGGCAAAGTTGATTGTGAATGAATGACGACTACCTGATGAACCCCTACTTATGGATCTCATCATTGGCTTGGTTTCTGTTCCTGTTCCTGTTCCTGTTCTTGTTCCTTCTTGCAAACGGAGTAGCTGGGAATAAGCTCCATCAGGATTTTTTATCAGCTCATCATGTGTTCCTAAATTTCAAATTTTGGTTAGCTCAAACTATGGAAATGGGAATCTGAAATTACTTGAATCTATAGCAAACCTTGTTCTAGGAGTTTCCCTCGATGCACCACTGCTATAGTGTCAGCATTCCTTATAGTTGTCAAGCGATGTGCAACAACCACAGTTGTCCGGTTAGCCATCACTCTTACAAGTGCATCTTGAACAATCCGCTCTGATTCTGAATCTAAAGCACTGGTAGCTTCATCCAGGAGTAGAATCCTCGGATTTTTCAGGATGGCTCTTGAAATGGCTATTCTTTGCTTCTGTCCACCTGATAGCTGGGTACCATGCTCGCCTACCATTGTATCAAGCCCTTTAGGCAGCTTGTCAATGAACTTTGCAGCATTAGCAAGCTCAGTAGCCGCTCTGACCTCTTCTTCTGTGGCATTTTCTTTACCGTACAGTATGTTCTCTTTTATAGTAGCTGTAAAGAGAATAGGTTCTTGGCTAACAAGACCAATTTTTTCTCTAATCCATTTGAGCTTAAATTTCTTCAAATTCACTCCATCTATGAGTACTTCACCAGAATCAGGATCATAAAACCTTTCTAGCAAACTGATAACTGTTGACTTCCCGCTTCCGCTCTGTCCAACAAGTGCAGCCGTGGTTCCACTGGGAACAGACAACGAGAATCCTGAAAAGATCTGCACATCTGGGCGTGCAGGATATCTGAAGTAGACATCTTTAAGTTCAATGTCACCTTGTATGTCTTCCAGTGCTACACCACTGGCATCGTAGGAGTCGATCTTCGGTTTTCGCTCGATCGTCTCGAACATTTTGTAAGCTGCAGCCTGTCCTAAAGCAAATGCATTCAGCACAGGTGATGTCTGGCCCAATGACCTTATACCATGAAAAAAGTTAGGTGAATTCATAGACCAAAGCATAGGGATCACGTGACATGAAAATGAAGATTTGAACTTACATTCCACCAGCCAAAATTGCAAATATAACATTGATAACTTGTCCACCATTGTACCCCTTCTGAATGATAAGCTTGGATCCATACCATATAGCAACCCCATAAGTGCCAAAGATGATAAGCAAGATTATGCCGTGTCCTAAACCTGAGGCAAGTCCTTGTCGAACAGTTGACTTGTAGGCTACTTTCAGCTTGTCGTTGTATTTCTCGATAGCTTGTTTCTCCCCAGTGAAGGACGCTACCTTCAATAATCAAAACAGAGGCTTAGAACATGTAACAAACTCAAGCTAACTACTACCGAATATTATTCGTTTTGACTTGTTACGTATCGCCGTTAACCTCATAGTTTTAAAACGCATCTGTTAAGAAGAGGTTTCCACATTCTTCTAAGGAATGTTTCATTCTTCTCTCCAACCGATATAGGATCTCACAGTCCACTCCCCTTGGGGGTCAACATTCTCGCTAGCATACCGTTCGATGTCTGACTCTAATTCCATTTGTAACAGTTCAAGCCCACTACTAGTAGATATTGTCTCCTTCAGACTTTCTCTGATGGGTTTCTCCTCAAGGTTTTAAAACGCGTCTCCTATGGAGAGGGTCTAACCCTACTCCAACTAGTGTCTTGCACTGTCCGGTGTCTAGCTTTGATACCGTTTGTAACAGCTCAATCTTATCGCTAGCAAATATTGTCCTCTTTGGACTTTCCCTTCTGGGCCCCACAAGGTTTTAAAATGCGTCGACTATGGAGAGGGTCTAGCCCTAATCCGACTAGTGTCTCACACGGTTCAGTGACTAACTCTTATACCATTTGTAATAGCTCAAGCCCACTGTTACCAGATATTGTTTGCTTTGGCCAGTTACGTATCACCGTCAGCCTTACAGTTTTAAAAACGCGTCTATTAGGGAGAGTTTTTCACACCCTTCTAAGAAATATTTCGTTTTCCTCTCTAACCAACGTGGAATCTCACAATAATGGTCTTTTAATCCAATCCTTACTGTTCTAATGGCTCCAATGGTTTGTTCTACAACGTTCCCAGCTTCAGCATAAGCATTCTGTGCACGGCTTGACATTCTAGACATGATGAGTGAAGCGGCACCAGCAGCAGATACAATGGCAGGAATGCAGAAGAGCAGAACCACAGCAAGATGCCATCCCCTCACAAAGGCAATCACAAAACCGCCGAAGAAAGTTGATATTAACTGTATGAACTTCCCCACCTACATCATCAAACAAAACAAATTTGAAACAAGATGCGATAAAAGAGTAAGAATGAGAAAAGAAAGAACAAATACCTTCTCTCCCATGGCGTCTTGAATAAGAACAGTGTCTCCAGACATTCGACCAACAATTTCTCCAGTTGAAGTTTCAGTGTCGAAGTATGTAATGTCCTGTCTTAGTATTGTTTTCAAATACAATGCGCGAATTCGTGCTGCCTGTCTTTCTCCTGTTACCATCCAACATGCAACCTCTGCAATGGATTATTATGTTTATATGTCAATCAACACACCGTTTACTAACTGCTTAAACACCGTATTTAATAATAATAATAAACTTCTTCTCAAAGTTCTAAATGCGATGACTGGGGCAAGCGTCTCTTATAATAATAATAATAATAATAATAATAATAATAATAATAATAATAATAATAATAAGAAGAAGAAAATATTTGTCGATACTTACGCAGGAATGAAGCAATTCCAGTGCCAATGCCCACATACACGTAGTCTATGGAAATCTGGAAGCCAAACAAACAAGTTTTTTTTAAGTATATATTAAATTTTTATTTATTTATTTATTTTATCTACACCTCTAATTAAAATAAAATAAAAATAAAAATAAGCAATTATTATTTTTCTTTTTGATATTCAAAGAAAATTCATAATTACCATTATTTTTATAAGAATAAATCATCTGTTCATAAATAATGCAAAGAAAAAAAAATAATTAGAAATTAATAGTTTTTGAAAATATAAACTAATTTCATTTATATTTAGAACAAAAGTATTTAAAAAAAAGAAAAAAAAAGAAAGTGGAAGACGAACCTTGGAAACTCGAGCGACGACGTCAGACTGATCAGCGGAGCCGAAGGAGTTGATCATCTTGTTGAAAATGAGCGTCATGAGCGGCTGAGAGAGGCCATTAGCGACGGCGCTGACGGTGCCGACGGTCATCAACACAGCGTCGAAGCGATCGGCGAATGAGAAGAGTTTATAGAAAGGGACGTTGTGATAGTGCCGTCCATTCGGCGGCGAGGCGGAGGAGGTGGCGGCGTCCATGGCGGTTGAGGTGAGTGCAGGAAGAGTGGTGGTTGAGGAGGGACTGAAATTGGGGCAATTTGCAAGTCCTTTAATAGAAGAAGGAATGCTTGGGGAAATTATAGTTTCATGAACCTAAGTTATGATTCCACGTCCGCCTCCTTCTAGAATAATTATATTTAGCAAATTCACAAACATTTTGTTTCTTTATATATATATATATATATATATATATATATATATATATATATATATATATATATATTTATTTATTTATTTATTTATTTATTTTATATTATTCATAATTTATTGATTTTTTTTTTTNGGGAAAAAAAATGAAGATGTAAGAATAAAGAATTTGTTTTTTTTTTTTTCAATTATCCATTTAAATTTCTAAATTATTAATTATATTTGTCTATATTTTGCTAAAAGGAGATTTTCCTAACAAACATGAAGAATGATTTAAATAGATTTTAAATTTATTTTTTAAAAAAATTATTTCAATAAAGTATTATATATCTTACATTTATTTTTGAAAAAAAGGATTAAATAGCAACTTTCTTGTTTCGTTATATTTCTATCTATTTTTCTTCAAAATATATTTTTAAGAAAGTAATTTTTATTAATGGAGATAAACAAAATATTTTTGGTCATTTAAAATTATTTAAAAAAATTATAATAAATATCCCAAAATTATAAATTCAATTAGCCAAGCTACATTACTTGAGACTACAACATGTATATGCAAATATTTTGTCATATGAAAACATGTGCTCAATCAAATTGAGTGACTTCCGTTTATAGTATCGAAACACTAGCTCCAGCGTCTCGATGCCACTTAAAAAAGGTCAAACATTTTAAATTTTTTCAGTACACACGCTATTCTTGTTCTTATCGTTCTTTCGAATTTGAGAAGGCTATTCATAGGAGAAAAGTTTAAACACGACTTCTACTGAGAGAGTTTATGGAATGTTCTTGAGAACTAAGAAAAAGATTTGAGGCTCGAGATTGTGACATATCATAACGGGAAGAAGGAATGAAACGTTGGTACATGGGATTTGAAGTTCATGGTTTTGATGGTGTATTGAATAATTGAAAGAACGAACAAGAATTAGTTCCAGATTGTGAAGTGGGTTTCGATGAGGACAGTAGAACACCCACTTACCCACTTCATCTTAGTTCAAAATCTAAACTGAGTTTTGATCAAAACAGGTAAAATACCAACCTTGTACACTTTGATTCTTCTCCAATTTTGTATTGGGGTTTGCTTTTAATCAAAACGGAAGAATCCCACTTGAACTGTCTTCAAATCTTGAATTGATTTTGATAAAACAGGAAAAAGTGAAGACCCCACTCACCCCCTTGCATTTACTTCAAAATCTGAACTGGGTATTCATCGGATCGCCACCACTTCCCCGCTCAGATCTGTTCAGAACATTTTTAAAACAAAACAACAGCTTGAAGCAACCTATTCCAACTTTCAAAACCAAAGAATCTGTGACAAACAGCTATGTGATAAAGAAGGCCACAGCATAGTGTTCTTTGATTGTATAGCAGAGCTATTATATGAAGTTTCAGAAATCAACAACAAAGCAGCCGTTTTGATCATATCTATTCCTTTTGGATTTTCATAACATCGAGATATGACTTCCCATTCAGTTCCCTGGTGAAGAATCCTTTGAGGAAATCTGTGACTCCAATTGTTTTAAACAAGGCAGGTCTTTCTGGAGTGACCAAGCTTGGGGCAGGACCTATCTCCCCATCCAATCTTGGGCTGTAAAACATGGCCACTGAGAGCCTCTCCTTCGCCGAGTTCACTGTTGCGCGATGCTCAATGCTACGATACGTTCCATTCGTGATAATCTGAAGGTTCATTCATATTCAACATCAAAACGAATCAGGTTTTGCAGGGTTGATTCAAAATATAAAGAGACGAAAATGACAGTTTTTACCTCCATAACGTCTCCAATGTTGACAACAAAGGCGTTTGGGAGAGGCTTAACAGGAACCCACCTCCCATCCTTTCTTATCTGGAGGCCTTCCATTTCATTGACTTGAAGAAGAATGGTAATGGCAGATGCATCAGAATGGTTATTGAGTCCAATGACAAGTTCTGGTTGAGGACATGGAGGATAGTAGTTCATTCTTGTTGACATCATTCCTTCTTCAAACACCTCTCTCATCTCGCAAATCTCCATTTTCAGTGCCTTCGCCATTAATTCAAGCAGTTTCATGGCTAGATTTTTCATCTCCAGTGCATAAGCATCCAAATCATCTCTAGAAGAACAGACAAAAAGGAATCCCATCGTACACAACAAATCAAGCTTGTCTTGCATATCTTAATGTGTGGAAAAATACAGGAAATACTACCTGAATGGAAGAGGGAGGTTGAGGAACAAGTGAGGTTTCCTTAAGTAAGTGGGGAGCATAAAAAGTCCAAAGAGATCTCCCCAATTAAGCTTCTGCTCCTCAGAGACAACAAAGCTCTGTCCAAATCCTTCAACATCTCCTGGTTTTTGCCACAGCTTGCTCTTCTCTTCCATTGGAAGATTAAAGAGTGCTTGAATGCCTGATTTCATACTCTCCACCAATACATCACTCACTCCATGATTTATCAGCTGATGAGAAAGAAAATGAATCAACAGAATGATATTAATTGAAAGCTTTTAAGACAGATCAAACAGCAAGTACCTGGAAGAAACCCCAATCTTTGCAAGCATGATGGAACTTATCAAGTTCAGGATCCTCACAATTGCTGGAGGACAGCAACTTGTGCATGTCAATAACAGGGACTTGAGCTGAAGTGTCAGTGAACTCAAAAGGAGGATCTTGGTCGGGGCGAATATATCGATGGGGAACTGTCGACGGCGAGCTTTTGACCAACTCTTGAACGCAAGGCACCGGGAGAGAGTCTCTCAGCTGCAGCTTCATTATTTGTGGCTCCATCTCCCAACAAAGCTCCCAGTAGCTCCCTCTAAACACACATATATCTACAACTCTTTAACAAAGCTGAGTTCCCAATGCAACTGTTAAGACAAAGGTAGTGTTCAGCTGCCTTTTAATTTGTCAGATAGCTTCTGCCGATCAATAATCTCCAAATCCAAATAAAATAAACAGTGCAACTTCAAGCTGGATTATTTTACAACTCCAATGAGAAATTTGTTTCTTTGTGGGATCCACGAAGCATACAATGGTTGAATTTCAAGTTTCCCAAATATTGAAACTAACCAAGAATATGTAAGTATAGTTTTTTGGAGATGGATAAGCTCAAATTCTGAATAAAATAATGTTCTTTTAACATAAGTTGGATTTTTTCAATTAATCCAATGAGAAATGTTGTTTCTATGTGGAATCATTGACGCATCCAACCTCACAAAGATTGGAACCAACTTTGAATATATCATCATAGTTTTCTGGTAATCTTTTTTTTTTTTTTTTTTTTAATTACAACTTAAATTTTTCTTTACATTCATTAGCTGGGATTCATGATGAATCTCCTGCACTATGAATGAAGCAAGCTGAAGAGGTGCAAAAGCTGTTTCTGATATGGATATATAATTTCTTCCACTTGTGCGACGAGCATATGCTTTATTTTTGTTTCCCTATCGGTAGATAACTTTTTAACAAGCATGGTCGCCCATATTCTCTATTCTCATCTGCTCAAGGTATGATTTTCCTTCTAGTTTTCGAGCAAAGAAGTCTTTGAAGTACTTTTCCAACATAACTCTTCTAAAAACTGCGGGGTTCTGCGGTCCTACGAGGCTGTTAGCTGGACCCAAATCCGAGTTTAGATTTGAGCTATGGAATGTAGCTACTGAAAGCCTCTCCTTGGAGAAATTCAGTGAAACTCTATGCTCAATGCTCTTGTATACACCATTGCTTACAATCTGCAGCAAAGGCAGAGAGACAGGCCAAACACAGTAAATTGCTAGCAAGTTTAAGAAGGGATCAGAAAAAGATGAATGCACATAGAGACCATGAAGCACCTCCATGATGTCTCCAATGTTGACTACAAATGCATTTGGAAGTGGTTTAACAGCAACCCATCTCCCATCCTTTCGAATTTGCAATCCTTCGGCTTCATTGAGCTGATAGAGAATTGTCAGAGCGTCAGCATCTGAATGAGCTGAAAATCCGATCGCCTTATCAGGCTCAGGGCATGGAGGATAGTAATTCAACCTCATTGACTGAACACCATCTCTAAAGAGCTCTCTCATTTCCTCAACATCCATCTTCAGAGCTTTGGCCAAATGATCCAAGATGACAATTGCTAACTTCTTAACTTCAGTAGAGTAAGCTTCCAAAGTCTCTCTGCAATAAGCGAATTAGAAATCAAAATCATACCATTCGATTGGAGTTTCAAGAATTGGCCAAAAACCTGAGTTTTGGTGGAAGCTTTTGAAATAGACGAGGCTCTCTCAGATCAAGAGGGAGAGTGGTTATGTAGAACATGTCTGACCAATCAAGCTTCTGCTCCTCTGATACCACAAAGAGCTGCCCAAATCCTTCTTGATTCTGTGAGTTTTGCCAAAGCAGCTTCTTTTCAGCGTAGGGAAGATTGAAGAAACTTTCAATTTCCATTCTGAATTCCTCCAGCAATGAGGTGGGAACTTCATGGTTTATGATCTGGCAAGAACAATTATCAGAACCAACCACAGGCCAGCAAGCGCCAGACTTCACAATAACAAGAAGAAACTGTCTAAGTAACACCTAGGCTTCTTTCTACAGAGATTCCTCCTCAAAATGACAGAACCCGTGAAAATAACCCCAACTAATTTATAATCCAATCCAACCCCATTTGGTTGGGTGGCCATTATGAATGGTCGAAGTTTTCTTAAACACCCATATTCAATTATGTTGACTAATAGGTTTCCCATACCGAGGGAAGAGCTCTCCCACCACCATAAAACCTTATTTGAGATCAAAGGCCTTACAGAAGGATGTAACATGAGATAGAAACAATATTGTAATACTCATTCGTTGCCAATTGTTTCTCTTTGTAAGTTTACCTTCCAGTTTTCAGAAATTCTCTGGTGACATGTAACACCCCAAGCTCATTGCTAGTAGATATTGTCTGCTTTGGCCTGTTACGTATCGAAATTAATCTCACGGTTTTAACCACGCCCTTATAAGGAATGTTTCGTTCTCCTCTCCAACTGATATAAGACCTCACAATCCACCCCTTGGGGGCCAGCGTCCTCGCTGGCATAGCGCTTGGTGTCTGGCTCTGATACCATTTGTAATATTTTAAGCCCACCGCTAGTAGATATTATTCGCTTTGGCCTGTTACGTATGGTTGTCAGCCTCACGATTTTAAAATGCACCTACTTCGAGAGAGGTTTCCACACCCTTATAAGAAATGTTTCGTTCTCATCTCCAACAGAGGTGGAACCTCAAACCATGACACTTATAATCCTAATCTTAGGAAGGCTATGCATAACGTAAAACTACAATCAGATATATAGCAGACGAAGAGCCATCAAACAGAGTAGATTTCAACATCTTGATCTAGATCATTGCAGCAAAATGGGGAATCCCAGGTCAAATCAATGACTTACCAATCTTCATTCACGATTCACAGTGGCAACAGATTGTAATCACGAGATTAGGGCACAATTAGCAGACGGTTTACAATACATTTACATACCTGGAAGAATCCCCATTCCTTACATGCAGAATGCAACTTGTCCAATTCCGAAGCAGCAGAATCTCCAACAGCCAATCGGTGAAGATCAACGATCGGTACCGACGGTCCAGAATCTCTGTCGGAAACCATAGGCGGGTCCTGATCGGCGCGTTCATAGCGAAGGGGGATCTTCGCAAGGGGCTGCTTAGCCAGCTCCAAAACACTGGGCACTATGATGGATGTTCCAAAGTTAACGATTTCAGTATTGGACTCCATGGATTTTTGAAAGCGGTGATTGAGGTGTTGACTTACTACTTATTGCTACGAGAAGAAAACAAGTGCTGTCCTCTATTTCCATGGAAGTTAGTAAACTATAAATTTCATAAATTATTTGAGGCGGCGGCCATCCTTAGTTTCACCGTCCGATTTACATCCAACCGTCTTAACTAACTCTGAATAATTAAAAATATTTCTAAATTTTGTAAAAAATTTCAATAATACAACNTTTTAAACAAATTAAAAAATACTTTCCAATTTTAATTTTTTTTTATTAGTACCATCGTTAATGTTTTTAAAAGTTTAAACTATTCTTCCCATCAATATTATATTTAAAAAATACTCATAAAATAATATTAATATCATTAACTTTTATGAAAAAAAAATTTTAAAATTTTTTTATTATCTAATATATTGATAGATTATCTACCTGGTTATTTTTAAATAAAAAAAGTTAAAAAAATTTTAATTTTTTTTTTTAAAAGTTAAAAGGTATTAATGAGACTTTTTTAAATTGTGTTTTTGTATAAAAAAAAAATTAAAAAAAAATTAAAAAAAAATTAAAATTAAAAGTTTAATTGTATTATTGGAATTTAAAATTAATATATATATATATATATATATATATATAAAAGTGATGATAAATTTAAATAAGGAGGAAATATGTATACATTAAAGAGTTTAAAAAAAAGAACAAAATAGAAAGTTAAAATTTTAATTTGAAAAGTTTCTTATACATTGATTGGGCTTTTTCTCAAGCTTAGAAGCCCACTTTTGAAAGCCCACTTTTGAAAGCCCAGTAGGGTTCCATGTCAAGGATTTTCTCTCTCAATTTTAAGTGTTAAAATTCATATCTCTTAACTCCAATTATTTAATACATCTATCAAATATGTTGACAACCAAGAAAATGAGATGTTGAATCTGATCGATGGGTCCCAAATATCGACATAGATGTAGATGAAGAAGACATCGAGATTTAAGCTTGAAATTGACATCGTGCATCGTTGGAGGACTTATCGGACATATCGTTGTTGCTTATGGTCGTTGGAAAAGATGGCGAAGAAAAAAATGAAGATAAAAAAATGCATTTAATATAGTGATATGTGTATCATTCCACACAAAAATAGTATGCACGTTTTATTATCATATTTCCATGTGCTTAAATTCTATTTCGTGTATTTTTCAAACCACATAGTAAGACTTTTATTATCACCATAATTTATCATTTTTGTGTTTTATCTATATCATTTTGGTTGACACTTGTTTCTCTCTACAATCGATGTGAGACCTCACAATTCACCTCTCTTTGGAACTAGCATTCAAGCTGACACACCACTCAGCGTCCTCGCTGGCACATCACTCAGCATCGGCTTTGATATTGATACAATTTGTTACGGCCCAAACTAACAGCTATTAGATATTGTATTTGGATTTTTTGTTTTGAGTTTTTTTTTTCAAAGGTTTTAAAATGCATCTGTGCCAAGAGAGGTTTCCACACCCTTATAAAGAACGCTTCGATTTTCTCTTCAATCGATGTGATCCCACACCATCGATAAAATAGCTAGATGGTTTGAGTGGGGGCAAATGTGGGGTTTTGATGTGAGGGTCTTCCACCTCATCGGTGGGTTTGCCAACAAAACATGTCGGAGAACATCGTCACGTTGTCTTCGTTTTTGTGTTGGCAATTAAAATCCCTCTAGTGCAATGAAAAGGACAGTCAAATTGCGACATACGCGAGAGGGTTGAGCTTCTCCCATCCGTCTCCACCGCCCACCCATACACACACAAAGGTGTTTGTGAAAATGCCACCCCGCAAACCAATAGAGATTGCGATAATAAAGGCTGGGTCAGGGTGAGCCACTGATTCCATCTTCTCTCTTATTCTCATCGTGTCGTAAGCAATGACTTACTAACTCAGTTTTCTCCACGTTTTTGCTATGCGGGGGAGTTGTGGGCATCCCTGCTCAACAAGATGGCAACCTTGCGTAATTCACACGAGGTACCACAATTTAATGTAATCATATCTTCTTCTTAATTAGTCAAAGTACGAGTGTATAAAGTTAATCTACATTAAATTTCTACAAAATTAATGATATAGTCATACTCAACCAATTGATTAAAGGATAGATTCAGTTGAAATTAGAAAAAATGTGCATTTTCTTCCCAACAAAATGAATCTCATGGATGTTTGTGCATTCAAAATTAAAAAATATGGGGAAATTGAAATCAACGAAGAATCCAATTAGAATTAGATTCCAATCCTAATTCCCAAAATTAAATAATTGTCCATTAAAGTAAGGAATCAGAATATTAAAAAAAATTCTATGATCATTACCTGAATGCAACCTATTATTGTCCTTGCATGTTCAATGTATGCCGTATTAAAGAATGTGTTCACCTTAAATTTCACAACTCAGACAAAAATAGTATCATAAATGAGTGTGTAGGTGAAACACGACCACGTAATTGTTCAAACTCAGTCCACACGGTTCACTTTAGAGATTGATTAATGACTCTTTAGTAGTTTCCATATAGTATAACCATCATAATCGTAAGGGAGCAACCTTGTACTTACGAACTATTACGATATTATACAAAACTCTCTCAATCAAGACAAATTCGTTGTCAGAGAATAGTTGGAGAACCTCTAACAAACCCCATTACGTAACATTTTACGTATCATATGCATCTATCAACTACTCCTATAAAAATGTTGACTTGGTGGGCACATTGTATATTCATAAAACTGAGTGATATTGTGTCTCATTCAACTAGTTTCGCATAGTAGGGGCTCATAATCGTGAACCATAGGCATTAAAATTACACTTGCTTTCCAAAGCTTTATAAATAATGTTAAGGATATTTAGTAATAAATTATAGTTTACCATATATATTATATTTGATATTTTATTATAAGGCAAATATCTAATATTTGCTTTATTATCATAGGTATCTTTCCATTTATTGTTATTTCCATTTATTACTATTTCCATATCTTTGTAATTCATTTGATTATAAATAAGATAACTTTCACACCATTTAGGTGTGGTGGATTAATCAAACATTCACATGGTATCAGAGCCCTCTCGGTTTAACAACCCCGATCCTTTCTTTTGAATGGCTTTTGAATCCTCTAATTTTCTTTTCCACCACCCCTGCTGGTTTTGACGCCGCAGGGGCAGTCTTCATGGCTGCCGTAGTCGGAGCCGATTGATTACTCTTCGGCTCCACCCTATTGACCTCCAAATCACCTTTCGTCATACTCTGTACATATAACCTCACCTTTTCCAACCAAATCGATTTTCCCCTTAGCCAATATAGTCTCTCTCATTTTCTTCCCAATCAACCTTCATCCTTCACATAAACCTTAACCTAAACCTATCAACCTTTTGCAGAGATTTACCTTCGGNATCTGGGTGCCGCACTGGCCTATTTGCCAACCAAGTTGCCGCCGCCCTTCCTGCCAAAATTGGCTTCTTCGCCCGATAAGGCGACTCTTCCGACTGCCCTTCTCGCCAAAATTGGCTCCTTCGCCCAATGTGGCGACTCTTCCGGCTTCAACATTGTCTTTGTCCCTTGCTCTAGGTTTCCCCTTCTACTTCTTGGGGTTAGAAATATTCTCACCAGAGCCAAGGCAGCATCGTCGCTAAGCGACAATCCCTCTTCATGGGTTAGACATATTCTCGCCGAAGCCAAGGCAGCATTGCCGCTGAGCGGCGATTCCTCTGCAATTTTCGATGGCCAAGAAAGTGTTTCTCTACGCCTCCTCTGAACCAGGTTGTTGACTTCTTCAAGAAAAGTGTTTCTCAACCTCTTTGAATTTTTCAGATTCAAGCTTCACGTTCGTTTAAATCCGACGCTTAGCTTGCGGTGGGGTGTTAAGGATATTTAGTAATAAATTATAGTTTACCATATATATTATATTTGATATTTTATTATAAGGCAAATATCTAATATTTGCTTTATTATCATAGGTATCTTTCCATTTATTGTTATTTCCATTTATTACTATTTCCATATCTTTGTAATTCATTTGATTATAAATAAGATAACTTTCATACCATTTAGGTGTGGTGGATTAATCAAACATTCACAAATAGACTGATTATTCCTTCCATATTAAGGGACACGCGTGAATGTTCCTATTAAATATAGACATTTTGAATAAGACAACTATATATTTTTTGTTGGGATTAGGCTTAAAGAAAGAGAATAAAAGGGTGTGAAAAAGTAAGAAGATTGAAAAGATGTGTGTGTAAATCTACTTCGTTTTGTTTGAGTGTGTGTATAAATAGATGATAAACTAATGCCATAACTCAAGGTAGAGCTTGAAACGCAGCCAAGAGAAGAAGAGAGGATGATAAGCTTAAAAGAGCTGGTAGAAAGCAGCTCCAAAATCAGTATCCCACAAAACTTCATTCGTTTGGATCAGGAGCCTTCTTCTACCTCCCATCCTTCCACGTTCCCCGTCCCACCGACCATCGATATGAGCCGATTACTCTCACCGCAACATTCCCGCTCTGAGCTTCTCAATCTTCACTCCGCTTGCAAGCAATGGGGCTTGTTTCAGGTATCTACTACTATTATCCATGACATGACATGATATGCGTCTGACTAAGTCGGGGGTGTGTTGTTCCTCGTAACTTTTTTCAGCTGGTGAACCATGGGGTTAGCTGTTCATTGTTGGAAGAGGTGAAGAGTGAAATTGAAGGGTTCTTTGAGCTTCCACTGGATGAGAAGATGAAGTTTTGTATGAAGGCTGGTGAATTTGAGGGCTATGGAACCGTGGTTCGATCCATGGATCAGAAGCTTGATTGGGGTGATAGGTTTTATATGATCACCCATCCTCTTTCAAGAAGAAAACCCCATCTCCTTCCCCACTTCCCTTCATCCTTAAGGTCACTTATTTCTCACCATGCTTAAGATAGTTATACGAAATATGATTGAAAACAACCCAGGATCAAAATATGTCGAAATAAAAATAAACAAAGGAAGGGATTCACCCTGTTGTAAAAATAGCATAATTTTTTAAAAAAATTTTGGTAAGTCAAGCTTATTAATTAAGGGTGTGAATACAGAAATACGTTGGAATCGTACTTGAAAGAGACAAAGAAGATAGCGATGACGTTGTTGAGGATGATGGCGG